TTTTTTTTTTTTTTTTTTTTTTTTTTTTTTTTTTTTTTTTTTTTTTTTTTTTGCTTTTGGGAGGGAATAATGATCAATTAATTACCCTTTCAAGGGATATGAACTTCAATTTGCTTCCCTGTATTTGAATGTGAAGCACATGATTGTTTTATTATAAATAATAATAATAATATCCACCGTCTTATTCAGCCCTACATGTGAATGTGGATTTTACAACCTTTCTTATCCTCCTCCATCTCGGGTCGGGTTGGGTTATACAAAAATGTGTCAACTTGTATCAATATCGTTCTTAGATTTTCAATTTTATCAATTTCACTGATTTGTACCTCGAACTTAGATAAATATTATCAACTTCATTGACTTGTACCTAAGACATAAAAATCAAAGGATGGCTTCGGAAAACTCTACAAAGGGAGTGCGAGAAGTAGGAATTAAAGGGAATGAAGAACTCTTTATCTTCGTAATATAAGCACTGAGAACAGCTTAGGAAGCTTAGGACAAACAGTAATGTTTATTGACTTAGTTGAAACCAAAATATTAAAAGAAAATAAGTAATAGGAAAGCAAAAACTCTACTTTTGTAGGAACCGTAACTTGCATGTCTTCTCAATGTAGTCCAACAACTTAAGAGTTCTCCTACATCCCACGAGATTTTCTATGACTCGAACACAGAACCAGGGCAGGTGAGACCTTCAATTGAGCCAATAACAAATACAGGGTAGATTCAAAAGGCGGTCACAGCTCAAAGTAGAAGTCCAAACACAAGCTCAAAAGACGTAATAAAACACAGACAACACAAAATTGAGGTAAAACACTACTTTTAACTAAGCCCACAGCTCAATCCTCTTCTTCTTCATCTCCATCTCCGCCAGCAGCCTTTTTCGCAGCCGCCTTCTGGTTCTTTCTCTTCACCCTTCCAGGACGTCCGCCTCCAAATGGACTTGTGAGAGAGAAATCTATGTGCTTTTGGGAATCAACCCTCACCATGAAAGAGGGGATGTTAACTACCTGCCTCCCTACCCTATCAAGGCAAAGAAGAAAAATGTGCTATGTATTGAGCATCATCATGAACTAGAACGATGAACTCTATTTCATTCTGGGAAAAAGATGGATAGTGAGGCACCCTACCTTATATGCTTCTGCCTGATGAGCACTCTAGCGTGGTGGATAGATTTTGCCATTCCAGACTTGAACACAAGGGTTTGGAGACGACGCTCAAGGAAATTCTCAACAGTAAGTGCCAAGACATAATCGAGCTTGTTTTGACTTTCATCCAAAAGACCATACCTGTTCATCCTCCTAAGCAGGGCCTCTCCCTCAAAAATTCTTCGTGGATTCTTTTCATCAAGCGTCAAAAGCATCCTGGCATTATTTCGGATTCGGCTCAATGCATATTGAACACGCCATAGCTCTCTTTTACAACGAAGCCCATATTCACCTACAAGTTTGAGCTCTGCATCCAGACGCTCCTTCTCATAAGGGCGCCGAGGTTTTTTGAAGGTCTTCCCATCTACATAATGATAAATCCACAATTCAATGATCCTGGGTCTATATAAAAGCATGAAGAAGCAAACATCACCCAAGCATTATTGTTTTTCAAACATTTTCTGTATCATTTACACCCAATATCGTCGTTGATTTTATAACACCCTAGAAGGTCGAGTCCAGAAAGTGAAACTTACAATGGCATCCAGTTCCCGCTTAAAACAGTCGTAAAAATGTATTGAGCTACAAGAATCTAACCCTAGAAAATCTGAGATTGTGCAATTTAATGTGATGAAACCGTAGGTTCCCAGATTGAAATGAAGCAATTAAGAGAAGAAATTGAAAGGAAATAATAGATGGTAAGTTGAGCATACTCACAGTTCCTGTAGAAAGAGACGTGGACCATGGTATGCTCTCTGCTAGGGCTTCAACCAAGCGGAATGGTGGAGGTTGAAGAGGGAGGAGCTAGGGTTTAATCTCTCTCTCTCTCTCTCTCTCCCCTTTGTATTTTTTATTTTTTTATTTTTCGTTTGTAAATAAAAGTGGAGAGGAGAGTCGGGAAGTGGGCTGGGCCGAAGTGTGAGATGGACTCTTACTGGTCAAGGGATACGAGTTTGAATTTTGACAAGGACTATTCATATTTTGAATATAATTGTTATATTATGATATTTTCTAATAAAATTACGTGTTTCTCGGATATATTCCTTAATAAAATCATGTCTCTATTCAATAAAAATAATTAATTCTTACTTTAAATACTTTATAATTTGAATTTACAAGTGGATGGATGGATATAGGAACGGAAGATTATCATATAGAAAATCTCGATGAATTCAACTCTAAATTTAGGATGATCTTAAAGTTTTCTGGGTCGGTGGAGCCGGTTTATATAAAGAAGACTTGGGGATATGATTTTCCTTCCTTTATTGGCCCATGGTTGGGCATGGTACTGTCTTTATAATCCTTTAAGATTTAGAAGTTTGATACGAGGATTAAACCTATCAGGACATGATGAAATCCATTCGATATAAATTTATAAATATGATGAGTATATTAGACAATTTAGTTCGGTAGATTATTATACCCTAATTATGATCCATGATTAGTGTCGGTGATTTGGTTGACTTATTACTACAAGAGGACGATAAGGGTTTCGCTAACTAAGATCCTAATTTGAGCTTGTCCTAACTAACGAGGAGGATTTGCCTAGCATATACTGGGCTAGACTCCCTATTTGATAGTACATTTGAGTTACTATGAAGGAGGCATGATTGCTTAATAGGGAATCTAACGGGTGCAATCATTCATACTTATCATGATACGTGATATAAACCAAAACATTTCAATCATGCAATATGAATTTCGAGGAAGGATTCTTGAATGATTACAAATTTTGGGTAGATAATAATTTATAATTATTATATTTTATTAATATATTTTAAGATCTTTTATTTACTCTTAGGTTACGTTTACGCTAATTATGACTATAAAGTATAGAAGTTACCACTCTTGAAATGCCTCTGGTAGAGTTAAAGATTTCATTTTTTATGCTATATAAAGCCATGCATGTTGTCTTTGTAAAGGAGACATGGAAAATAATATAGTAAAAAGAGTATTTATGTTTTCTTTTAGTCAATAACTAAGGTTTTTTGCAATTCTATATAGTTTAGATTACGTGTTATAATCATTCAAGCTTGACCTGATCAATCTTTCTTGTAGGGTGATTTGAATTTCAAATAAATGCTCTTGCCTTGAGATATCTTATTAATAAGGTAATTCAATTCTTATCAATAAGGTAATTCAAGTCTTACTTTCTTTTGGGTGAAATCAAATTGATTTGGGGCTTTTAACTTTTGTGAACAAGGGGTTTGTATATCTAGGTGCTTCTGATGGTCCTTAGATTCAACTTTCTATATCAATACGAATGAGTAGAGGGTCATTCCCAAAGATGATTGAATTTTAATTTCTTTGAGGTGACCTTAGATATTCTAAGATGGTTGAGCTTAGGTACCTGAAAATGACTTTAGGTATTTTAAGATCACAAGGGTTACTCTCTTTCTCCTTATAGCGGAAGTAAGAGAACCGATTTGATTTTATTAAGAATTAAAACAAAACATTTAATATAAGATTAAATCTTTACCTTTGTAGAAATCATGGGTTGCAAGCTTCCTGAGTGTATTCCAACCGTGCAAGAGTTCCTCCAAAAATCTTTAGGTCAATATTTGTGAAAGCCTCTTGAAAGA